GGGGCAGTGTCCAGCCCTCCTGTGCCAGTGGTGCCTCCTGGACTCCCAGCACAGCACGAGAGACAGAGAATGGGCACGGGGTGAAGGCACCTCACTTTCTGACACGCAGCCCCTGGCCTGCCGGGGTTTCGTGTCTCTTAAACTGGAGTCTGAAGTCTGCAGCTGCTCCGGGCATGCAGCCCAGACCCAGGGACAGGTGCACGCTGCCCATGCGGGCAGGGGGACCCGGGGGACGCCAACCAGGCCCAGGCGCTCGGGCCGCCTGGCCTGAAGCTCAGCTGCTCACCCCCTCTCCTGAGCTGCCCCCCAATTCCTCAACGCAGGCTGCTGTGCTCCTGTTCCAGGCCGCACCCCCCGGCGGAAGCGGCTCAGAGCCGGGGTCTCACCACCCGGTGGACTCTGCGGCCGCAGCCAGCGGAGCTCGTGCCCTGAGCAGACCCGGGCTGTGCCAGAGACGGTGGCCGGGAAACGGGGGGCGGTTCGCAGGTCCTCGGTGTTGCGTGAGCTCCCCTGCGCATGTCCGTGTCCTGAGCTGTTTCTCGTCCCTCCTGGGCTTCTCTTCGCCCGCTGCTCTTCCCTGAATATCTGTCGAGCCCCATCGGTCTCCTCCTTCTTTGGCTGAAAACCAGTCTCAGTCCCCTTTATAATCAAAATTCATCATTTCTCTTCTTGTCCGCATAAATAAATAAGCCTATAAAATCATGACATCTACTCTATAAAATGACTGGACACATCGCAGGCTTTGCTCGACACTTTCAGCTCTAAACTGGCACGGAGTTTGCTCTCCTTTCCCAGCGCAGACAAAGCTCTGGAGGTGACGTCAGGTGACACCCAAGCAGGAACTGTACTCTGTAGCCAGGACCACGAGCCACAACTGTGTGCAAAGACTCAGGTGAGATCCTCTGCTGATGCCCAGGGTCGAGGCCTCTGCCAGCCTGCGCCTCCCTCACGCTGACCCATCTGTGCCCTGGGCACCCTCCCTCCGTCCAGAGCTGCCTCTGGGTGTCCCCAGCGCTGTCTCTCCTCTGTCCACCTGGCTTCAACCCCAGGACGACTGCGGTCAGGGACACGCCTCGGAGCTCCCGGCCCCCACTTTCCCTCAGGAAATAATCTGCAGAGTCAGCAGGG